TAGTCCCTACCAGCCGTCTACTCCAGACCACGATCACTAGACCACCGAATGAGCAACCCCTGGTATTGTCTAATACTAGAACGTAAAAGACCCAACAAACACAACCTAGATTCTAACCATGGTCGTCACCTAAAATCAGACTTCAACTTTAGGTTTCCCCATGGAAAGACATGCAAACGATCATCTCAATCATTTCGTTGCACGCAATACTTTATTGGGCAAATATCCAAACATAATCTAATTGCCTTACAATGTAAGTGTGCCCAGTGGGCGACGGCAATTATGTAGACTATGACAGGAAGCTCTCCGACACGTGGGACAATTGATTTATATACACATTTCTTATACATTTATTATTCTGGTTAGGTTTCCAAAAATTACATAAACATTGATATAACTCCACTTTACAATATCAGATTGAAACAAACCATATATCAAATGAAAGCATTAGTTTTATCCTATAAAACTAAACAAAAGAGAACAAGTAATTATTAATGGTAGAAAAGTAATTACACTAAAACTGTCAAAAACATGCACAATCGAACATTCTTAAAATTAACACGTGACTATATAGCGTCGTATATTTTACTTGAATTACGCTATCTACGCCGAAATAACTACTACGAAATGAAACCAATTTTGTGACAGTACATTAAAAGGTGAAATAATAAATTGAAGAGCGATGATGAATCAATTCTTTGACGTTGATTGATTGAATAAAAAATAATGAAACAATATGGTCTCAGGGTCATATATCTTTGAATATTAGAAAGTTTCATCCACCATCATGTTGTTGAACACTATTTGCAATTCAATTTTAATGGGGTGACTTGTCGGTTACGAGCAGAAGGTCATTTCAGGCTTCTATATTCTATAATAATATCAACAGATATCTGGATAGAGACACTTTGTCACATCAAGCTAGGAGAAAGTATATCATCATCTCACAGAATTCTACTCGAACACCGCATCAAATTCTTTTAACCTTTTTTTTTTCTTCTTCCTCTTTTTTGATGCTTTTTAGCTCTCCTTTTTTCCTTTTCCTTCCTTCCTCTCTTTTTTTTAGCTGGGGCGGGGGGAGGCAAAGGCTTTTTGCCCCACCCCAATCCGCAAATTGCTGGCGGAAAAATTGCAACTGATATCCCCCTTCTTTTCTTTACTTCTTCCTCAATTTTCCTTCCCTTTATCCCTTCTTCAGTGACTGGTCCCTCAGAAACTAGTGCTAAGCCAGTCACAGAGAATTCATTATTTCAACTGTTGCCTGTCTGTGCATTGAAAATTTGATTTTTCTTCAAATTTCATTTAAAAATCTTGTCATATTTGATAAATATGGTGCATTGGCATATGGGCTATGGTTGGTGTATTATGTGGATTTATCATATTCATATTCTGAATATTTTCAGCGAATTTAATAATATTGAAAAGGATGCAATTCATAGTTGTACTCGAAAATTCTCACTTCACATATTCTCTCTCTCTCTCTCTCTCTCTCTCTCCCTGTCTTGCATAAAGAAAATATGAAAATAATATTTTGCCTTGATCAAAAAATGTTATCAGTATTAAACAGGGAGAAGGAAAGGGGAGAAAATTAATCAAAACAAACATTGAAGAATCCAATTCAGTGTTCTTACGTGATGCATAAGAATGAAAGTACATTAAAAGGTGAAATAATAAATTGAAGAGCGATGATGAATCAATTCTTTGACGTTGATTGATTGAATAAAAAATAATGAAACAATATGGTCTCAGGGTCATATATCTTTGAATATTAGAAAGTTTCATCCACCATCATGTTGTTGAACACTATTTGCAATTCAATTTTAATGGGGTGACTTGTCGGTTACGAGCAGAAGGTCATTTCAGGCTTCTATATTCTATAATAATATCAACAGATATCTGGATAGAGACACTTTGTCACATCAAGCTAGGAGAAAGTATATCATCATCTCACAGAATTCTACTCGAACACCGCATCAAATTCTTTTAACCTTTTTTTTTCTTCTTCCTCTTTTTTGATGCTTTTTAGCTCTCCTTTTTTCCTTTTCCTTCCTTCCTCTCTTTTTTTAGCGGGGGCGGGGGGAGGCAAAGGCTTTTTGCCCCACCCCAATCCGCAAATTGCTGGCGGAAAAATTGCAACTGATATCCCCCTTCTTTTCTTTACTTCTTCCTCAATTTTCCTTCCCTTTATCCCTTCTTCAGTGACTGGTCCCTCAGAAACTAGTGCTAAGCCAGTCACAGAGAATTCATTATTTCAACTGTTGCCTGTCTGTGCATTGAAAATTTGATTTTTCTTCAAATTTCATTTAAAAATCTTGTCATATTTGATAAATATGGTGCATTGGCATATGGGCTATGGTTGGTGTATTATGTGGATTTATCATATTCATATTCTGAATATTTTCAGCGAATTTAATAATATTGAAAAGGATGCAATTCATAGTTGTACTCGAAAATTCTCACTTCACATATTCTCTCTCTCTCTCTCTCTCTCTCTCTCCCTGTCTTGCATAAAGAAAATATGAAAATAATATTTTGCCTTGATCAAAAAATGTTATCAGTATTAAACAGGGAGAAGGAAAGGGGAGAAAATTAATCAAAACAAACATTGAAGAATCCAATTCAGTGTTCTTACGTGATGCATAAGAATGAAAGTACATTAAAAGGTGAAATAATAAATTGAAGAGCGATGATGAATCAATTCTTTGACGTTGATTGATTGAATAAAAAATAATGAAACAATATGGTCTCAGGGTCATATATCTTTGAATATTAGAAAGTTTCATCCACCATCATGTTGTTGAACACTATTTGCAATTTAATTTTAATGGGGTGACTTGTCGGTTACGAGCAGAAGGTCATTTCAGGCTTCTATATTCTATAATAATATCAACAGATATCTGGATAGAGACACTTTGTCACATCAAGCTAGGAGAAAGTATATCATCATCTCACAGAATTCTACTCGAACACCGCATCAAATTCTTTTAACCTTTTTTTTTCTTCTTCCTCTTTTTTGGTGCTTTTTAGCTCTCCTTTTTTCCTTTTCCTTCCTTCCTCTCTTTTTTTTAGCGGGGGCGGGGGGAGGCAAAGGCTTTTTGCCCCACCCCAATCCGCAACTTGTTGGCGGGAAAGTTGCAACAGATATCCCCCTTCTTTTCTTTACTTCTTCCTCAATTTTCCTTCCCTTTATTTCCTCTTTTCCTTTTTTCTTTCCATCTCCTTCCTTTCTTCTCTCTTATTTTGTTTTATAGGGGGAGGCAACAGCCTGGGAGGCAAGGCCCTTTCGCCCCCCCCCCCCCCCCCGATCTCCTTCTTCCCCCTTTTCTTTTCTTCTTCCTCTTCTTTCTTTCCCTTTCTCTCCTCTTTCCCTTTCCCTCTTTTCCTTCTCTCTCTCTCTCTCTCTCTCTTTGCGGAGGGGGGGGGGGGGGGGGGCAAGGCCCGCTCACCCCCGCTGGATCCGTGCCTGCATCTACCTTATATCTACTAACGTTAGACCCTAATAATGGATCTAGAAGAATGATTGACCTGGTCTCAGTGACAGGTAAACCTTTTTTTTCTCAATTACTTGGTCTAACCATGAAAACCGTCTGATTTTACTTTTTACATTTTTATAACAAATTAACGTTAACGTTAGACTTAACTTAAACTGTTGTTTCTCTGTGATACAAGCGGGAAAGGAACACTTTTTGTTCAAAAAAAAAAAATCTTCCCCTTTCCCCCCTTCTTTTTTCCAAGGGGGGGGGAGGGGCGGCCCCCGGGCCCCCTCTAGATCCGCCACTGATCACGGGGATAAAGTATACAGCTATGTAACAAGTTAATTTCTAAGAGGGAAAATGCCGACTTAAATAAATGATTATGATAAAATACCAATCCAATGGAAATTTGTCTTAAAATAAGAGCCCCCGTCAGCACTAAAAGAGCCCCTGTGAGAAGGCTCACGGGGGGTCTTTTTTTTTGGAAGAGCCCCCGTGGACAAAAATTTAATTTGAGCCCTGGATAATAGCCATCCATTTTTCATAGTTCTCACGCTTGCTGGGCTACGTCCCTTAACAAAATAAGTAATACAGTCACGTTGATGCATTGCCAGCATGTCCGGAATTGTCATGTTCTGATTCTCCATCAAAAAATTTCCTACATGTCTTTTTTTCCATTTTTTAGCCCTTTTGGTTAGAGTGGCCCTTTAATTGGAATATTAAAGCTCTTTTTGCAGCACATTTTCCATATTCATGTTCAAATGCACATTGTAAGATATAAATGGACTAAGCGAGTTTCTAAGACACTGAAATTCTGCCAGACAAATGTTGGTATATTTTGGATGATGAGTGTTTCATTAAAGGTGGGTAAAAGCCGGTCACATGCTGTGTGTTATTTCTACTATTGAAATCACTGTGCCTTTCTGTACCAACAAGCAGGCATTTCTGTTTTTCACATACAAGGAAGCATTAGCAAAGAATGCATATACAGCAATTAAACATCAACGTCATGGTTGATATACATTTATTGACATCAGCAACAACCATCAAATAAGGCAATCCAGTTTTATGCATTCATAGCCATAGCTTGCCTCAAGCATTCAGAAAACTAGAACTAAGCATGTTTATGATGAATAATACAGATCTGGACCCCGCCTTATAAAGAGTAAATATAAATTGCAACTTATTTGTGATTGTTATAAATCTCAACTATGTGCATATGAAGAGATAGGAAACTGCAAACTTGCGATTAGAGGACTTGGGATTGATTTGGATCAATCGTAACTCTTTATAAAAAGATGGGGCCCAGTACTTATAACGGCCACAGACCGATCAAATTATGCAAACTTCAAGACATTTTGTCACTTTTGTTGCTTAAATGACTTTATTTCATAGTGTCTTGAACTTTATAAGATGGGGCCCAGTACTTATAACAGCCACAAAATGATAAAATTAGGCTAAGCTCAAGACACTTTGAAAAAATCTTAAGTGACAAAATAGGGTCTGTGTATTCAGACTACTCATTACCTGGTAATGCCTCAGTGTCCAGATCCAGATCCTCCTCGCTAACCTCCACGTCCAGGAGTTCTGACATTCTCTCTGCTATCTCCCCAGTCTCCTCCTCTGCAAAGGCATAGTCAGACACCAGGATGGGGCTGGTGCGGAGTCTAGCATAGATGCGTCTGGGTGTAGCTATGACTGCTGGTGGAGCTGAAAAGACAAGCATGACAAAAATGTTAAAGGGGGTGTAGCACGACAAGAATATGTGTCTTTCCTGTGGCCTGACTCGGGGCCAATCGGGTATAATATGACTACATTTTTTTTATACGACGCGACTGCAGCAATCATGTGTGTGCAACACTGGCGTACTGGTGGGGGGGGGGGGGGGGGGTGGGGCTTGGGGGGCACCAGCCCCTCCAAATAAAATTGAACCATGACTTATTTTCACAAGGAATGTATAAATGTTCGTGATATCACAAAGTTTCAACAAAATGCTATAGTTTCTCCATTATTACTTGCAAGTCACTAAGGGCCTTATAGTGGCCACTAACAGTAACACTAATTCCTTTCCAGAAGCTACTGTGCAAAGCACTGTCGAGAGATAACATGCTACTCATCACTCGGGCTGAGCATGCACAGATTTGCGAACGAGCGTTCCATACTTACATCATGTAACACTGCACATATACCGTTAAGGGGCCCAGTGGGGGGGGGGGGGGGGATTGAATTCAGACAAGGATTAAGAGTCGGGACCGGTACAATGAATCGTCTTCTTTCTCTAATAATTAAATGAAACGTCATAGCTCCTGCGCCTTGCGCGGGTGGGGCGAAACAAGAATTAAGAATCGAGAATAGTACAACGGATCGTCTTCTTTCTCTAATAATTTAAGTGTCAAAGCTTCCGCGCTTTGCGCAGGAGGGGGAAACTGAAAAATAACTTAGTTCCTGGCCCCGGGTTTAAAGGGTTAAATTTGTAGACAATTGGACATTGGCATTTTTATATTTGTCGGTAATAATATTGGTGAGCCGTTTTGTCGGTAATCGGCGGCCTCTACACCCTCCCCCCCCCCCTCCCCCACTGAAAAAGATCTAGCGACGCCCCTGATAACGACACAGTTTATACACTCGAGATAATTTTTGCAAGTACTACTGGTGAAGTACTGGACCACCGTCTTTGTGCATTGTGCGGCATCAAAGCATAATTTATACAATGTCTCACGACGTGACAGATCACTTTTCTCTAACTTCTAACTACAGTGATCAGAGGGCCTCTTTTTTCTCCATGAAGTGCCGGTGGATATTAATGTGCCAAATGTGGTTCTCAAATTGCAAAAGATCCCTACTCTTGGAAGGGGTAGGAGAAAGCAATTTTAAGTCATATTACTCCAGGAAGTGCCTGAAAATGCGTCTAAATTGGTTCTAAATTTGCAATTGCTTCTTACTCTGGGAGGGGGCCAGAACCTCGTCTTGTCTGAAGGAAGGAAATGGAAAGAAAAAAGGAAGAGAGGAGATAAAGGGAAGGAAAATTGAGGAAGAAGTAAAGAAAAGAAGGGGGATATGAGTTGCAATATTTTTCATATTTTCTTTATGCAAGACAGGGAGAGAGAGAGAGAGAGAATATGTTAAGTAAGAATTATCGAGTATAACTATAAATTGCATCCATTTCAATATTATTCAATTCGCTGAAAATATTCAGAATATGAATATGATAAATCCACATAATACACCAACGCTGTTCAACGCATCCAACGCTCCAACCATAGCCCATATGCCAATGCACCATATTTATCAAATATGACAAGATTTTTAAATGAAATTTGAAGAAAAATCAAATTTACAATGCACTGACAGGCATCAGTTGAAACCATGAATTCTCTGTGACTGGCTTAGCACTATTTTTTGAGAGACCAGTCACTGAAGAGGACATAAAGAGAAGGAAAATTGAGGAAGAAGTAAAGAAAAGAAGGGGGATATCAGTTGCAATTTTCCCGCCAACAAGTTGCGGACGGGGGTGGGGCAAAAGGCCTTTGCCTCCCCCCGCCCCCACTAAAAAAAAGAGAGAGAGAGAAGGAAGCAAAAGGAAAAAAGGAGAGCTAAAAGAGACCAAAAAAGAGGAAGAAGAAAAAAAAAGGGCGAAAAGAATTCCGATGTGGTGTTCGAGTAGAATTCTGTGAGATGATGATATACTTTCTCCTAGCTTGATGTGACAAAGTGTCTCTATCCAGATATCTGTTGATGGTATTTTCGAATATAGAAGCCTGAAATGACCTTCTGCTCGTAACCGACAAGTCACCGCATTAAAAATTAAATTGCAAATAGTGTTCAAAACAACACGATGGTGGATGAAACTTTCTAACATTCAAAGATATATGACCTTCAGACCATATTGTTTCATTATTTTTTATTCAATCAATCAACGTCAAAGAAATGATTCATCATCGCTCTTCAATTTATTATTTCACCTTTTAATGTACTTTCATTTTTATGCATCACGAAAGAACACTGAATTGGATTCTTCAATGTTTGTTTTGATTAATTTCCTCCCCTTTCCTTCTCCCTGTTTAATACTGATAACATTTTCAATTTTTCTTAATCAAGGCAAAATATTATTTTCATATTTTCTTTATGCAAGACAGGGAGAGAGAGAGAGAGAGAATATGTTAAGTAAGAATTATCGAGTATAACTATAAATTGCATCCATTTCAATATTATTCAATTCGCTGAAAATATTCAGAATATGAATATGATAAATCCACATAATACACCAACGCTGTTCAACGCATCCAACGCTCCAACCATAGCCCATATGCCAATGCACCATATTTATCAAATATGACAAGATTTTTAAATGAAATTTGAAGAAAAATCAAATTTACAATGCACTGACAGGCATCAGTTGAAATCATGAATTCTCTGTGACTGGCTTAGCACTATTTTTTGAGAGACCAGTCACTGAAGAGGACATAAAGAGAAGGAAAATTGAGGAAGAAGTAAAGAAAAGAAGGGGGATATCAGTTGCAATTTTCCCGCCAACAAGTTGCGGACGGGGGTGGGGCAAAAGGCCTTTGCCTCCCCCCGCCCCCACTAAAAAAAAGAGAGAGAGAAGGAAGCAAAAGGAAAAAAGGAGAGCTAAAAGAGACCAAAAAAGAGGAAGAAGAAAAAAAAAAGGGCGAAAAGAATTCCGATGTGGTGTTCGAGTAGAATTCTGTGAGATGATGATATACTTTCTCCTAGCTTGATGTGACAAAGTGTCTCTATCCAGATATCTGTTGATGGTATTTTCGAATATAGAAGCCTGAAATGACCTTCTGCTCGTAACCGACAAGTCACCGCATTAAAAATTAAATTGCAAATAGTGTTCAAAACAACACGATGGTGGATGAAACTTTCTAACATTCAAAGATATATGACCTTCAGACCATATTGTTTCATTATTTTTTATTCAATCAATCAACGTCAAAGAAATGATTCATCATCGCTCTTCAATTTATTATTTCACCTTTTAATGTACTTTCATTTTTATGCATCACGAAAGAACACTGAATTGGATTCTTCAATGTTTGTTTTGATTAATTTCCTCCCCTTTCCTTCTCCCTGTTTAATACTGATAACATTTTCAATTTTTCTTAATCAAGGCAAAATATTATTTTCATATTTTCTTTATGCAAGACAGGGAGAGAGAGAGAGAGAGAATATGTTAAGTAAGAATTATCGAGTATAACTATAAATTGCATCCATTTCAATATTATTCAATTCGCTGAAAATATTCAGAATATGAATATGATAAATCCACATAATACACCAACGCTGTTCAACGCATCCAACGCTCCAACCATAGCCCATATGCCAATGCACCATATTTATCAAATATGACAAGATTTTTAAATGAAATTTGAAGAAAAATCAAATTTACAATGCACTGACAGGCATCAGTTGAAATCATGAATTCTCTGTGACTGGCTTAGCACTATTTTTTGAGAGACCAGTCACTGAAGAGGACATAAAGAGAAGGAAAATTGAGGAAGAAGTAAAGAAAAGAAGGGGGATATCAGTTGCAATTTTCCCGCCAACAAGTTGCGGACGGGGGTGGGGCAAAAGGCCTTTGCCTCCCCCCGCCCCCGCTAAAAAAGAGAGAGAGAGAAGGAAGGAAAAGGAAAAAAGGAGAGCTAACAGAGACCAAAAAAGAGGAAGAAGAAAAAAAAAGGGCGAAAAGAATTCCGATGCGGTGTTCGAGTAGAATTCTGTGAGATGATGATATACTTTCTCCTAGCTTGATGTGACAAAGTGTCTCTATCCAGATATCTGTTGATGGTATTTTCGAATATAGAAGCCTGAAATGACCTTCTGCTCGTAACCGACAAGTCACCGCATTAAAAATTAAATTGCAAATAGTGTTCAAAACAACACGATGGTGGATGAAACTTTCTAACATTCAAAGATATATGACCTTCAGACCATATTGTTTCATTATTTTTTATTCAATCAATCAACGTCAAAGAAATGATTCATCATCGCTCTTCAATTTATTATTTCACCTTTTAATGTACTTTCATTTTTATGCATCACGAAAGAACACTGAATTGGATTCTTCAATGTTTGTTTTGATTAATTTCCTCCCCTTTCCTTCTCCCTGTTTAATACTGATAACATTTTCAATTTTTCTTAATCAAGGCAAAATATTATTTTCATATTTTCTTTATGCAAGACAGGGAGAGAGAGAGAGAGAGAATATGTTAAGTAAGAATTATCGAGTATAACTATAAATTGCATCCATTTCAATATTATTCAATTCGCTGAAAATATTCAGAATATGAATATGATAAATCCACATAATACACCAACGCTGTTCAACGCATCCAACGCTCCAACCATAGCCCATATGCCAATGCACCATATTTATCAAATATGACAAGATTTTTAAATGAAATTTGAAGAAAAATCAAATTTACAATGCACTGACAGGCATCAGTTGAAATCATGAATTCTCTGTGACTGGCTTAGCACTATTTTTTGAGAGACCAGTCACTGAAGAGGACATAAAGAGAAGGAAAATTGAGGAAGAAGTAAAGAAAAGAAGGGGGATATCAGTTGCAATTTTCCCGCCAACAAGTTGCGGACGGGGGTGGGGCAAAAGGCCTTTGCCTCCCCCCGCCCCCGCTAAAAAAGAGAGAGAGAGAAGGAAGGAAAAGGAAAAAAGGAGAGCTAACAGAGACCAAAAAAGAGGAAGAAGAAAAAAAAAGGGCGAAAAGAATTCCGATGCGGTGTTCGAGTAGAATTCTGTGAGATGATGATATACTTTCTCCTAGCTTGATGTGACAAAGTGTCTCTATCCAGATATCTGTTGATGGTATTTTCGAATATAGAAGCCTGAAATGACCTTCTGCTCGTAACCGACAAGTCACCGCATTAAAAATTAAATTGCAAATAGTGTTCAAAACAACACGATGGTGGATGAAACTTTCTAACATTCAAAGATATATGACCTTCAGACCATATTGTTTCATTATTTTTTATTCAATCAATCAACGTCAAAGAAATGATTCATCATCGCTCTTCAATTTATTATTTCACCTTTTAATGTACTTTCATTTTTATGCATCACGAAAGAACACTGAATTGGATTCTTCAATGTTTGTTTTGATTAATTTCCTCCCCTTTCCTTCTCCCTGTTTAATACTGATAACATTTTCAATTTTTCTTAATCAAGGCAAAATATTATTTTCATATTTTCTTTATGCAAGACAGGGAGAGAGAGAGAGAGAGAATATGTTAAGTAAGAATTATCGAGTATAACTATAAATTGCATCCATTTCAATATTATTCAATTCGCTGAAAATATTCAGAATATGAATATGATAAATCCACATAATACACCAACGCTGTTCAACGCATCCAACGCTCCAACCATAGCCCATATGCCAATGCACCATATTTATCAAATATGACAAGATTTTTAAATGAAATTTGAAGAAAAATCAAATTTACAATGCACTGACAGGCATCAGTTGAAATCATGAATTCTCTGTGACTGGCTTAGCACTATTTTTTGAGAGACCAGTCACTGAAGAGGACATAAAGAGAAGGAAAATTGAGGAAGAAGTAAAGAAAAGAAGGGGGATATCAGTTGCAATTTTCCCGCCAACAAGTTGCGGACGGGGGTGGGGCAAAAGGCCTTTGCCTCCCCCCGCCCCCGCTAAAAAAGAGAGAGAGAGAAGGAAGGAAAAGGAAAAAAGGAGAGCTAACAGAGACCAAAAAAGAGGAAGAAGAAAAAAAAAGGGCGAAAAGAATTCCGATGCGGTGTTCGAGTAGAATTCTGTGAGATGATGATATACTTTCTCCTAGCTTGATGTGACAAAGTGTCTCTATCCAGATATCTGTTGATGGTATTTTCGAATATAGAAGCCTGAAATGACCTTCTGCTCGTAACCGACAAGTCACCGCATTAAAAATTAAATTGCAAATAGTGTTCAAAACAACACGATGGTGGATGAAACTTTCTAACATTCAAAGATATATGACCTTCAGACCATATTGTTTCATTATTTTTTATTCAATCAATCAACGTCAAAGAATTGATTCATCATCGCTCTTCAATTTATTATTTCACCTTTTAATGTACTTTCATTCTTATGCATCACAAAACACTGAATTGGATTCTTCAATGTTTGTTTTGATTAATTTCCTCCCCTTTCCTTCTCCCTGTTTAATACTGATAACATTTTCAATTTTTCTTAATCAAGGCAAAATATTATTTTATTTTCTTTATGCAAGACAGGGAGAGAGAGAGAGAGAGAATATGTTAAGTAAGAATTATCGAGTATAACTATAAATTGCATCCATTTCAATATTATTCAATTCGCTGAAAATATTCAGAATATGAATATGATAAATCCACATAATACACCAACGCTGTTCAACGCATCCAACGCTCCAACCATAGCCCATATGCCAATGCACCATATTTGTCAAATATGACAAGATTTTTAAATGAAATTTGAAGAAAAATCAAATTTACAATGCACTGACAGGTATCAGTTGAAATCATGAATTCTCTGTGACTGGCTTAGCACTATTTTTTGAGGGACCAGTCACTCACTGAAGAGGACATAAAGAGAAGGAAAAGTGAGGAAGAAGTAAAGAAAAGAAGGGGGATATCAGTTGCAATTTTCCCGCCAACAAGTTGCGGACGGGGGTGGGGCAAAAGGCCCCATGCCTCCCCCCGCCCCCGCTAAAAAAAAGAGAGAGAGAAGGAAGGAAAAAAGGAGAGCTAAAAGGGACCAAAAAAGAGGAAGAAGAAAAAAAAGGGTGAAAAGAAGGGGAGATGGATCAGTTGCGGTTAATCCCCCCAGCAACGTGTGGAGAAGGGTGGGGGCCGAAAGGACTTTGCCTCCCCCACCCCCCCCCCCCCCCCCCCCATCAAACCTAAAAGAGAGAAAGAAGGAAGGGAAGGGAAAGGGAAAGAGGAGAGAAAGGGAAAGAAAAAAAAAGAGAAAGAAAAAAGGTAGGGGAGATCAGTTGCCACCAAAGTGTAAATCAGGGGGGGGGGGGGGGGCACTGGCATACTGATTGGGGAGGGGGATCGGGGGAAATAAAATTCAAACATGGTTTATTTCTAATTCCATGACAGTGGTTTACACATAATGCTGAAATGACAAAATTATCTGAGATTTTTTAGTAAATTATACTTTTTTATGCGTTTGTTGTAAAATGACAAATTCCTAAATTAACAGCCAGGCAAAAAATATGCTTCTAGAGATGCCTACACGTCAGGGCCCGCGGAACGGCGGGGATCGGGAGCCTCGAGGTCCCTCCCCCCCCCCCCCCTTCACTTTTTTTGAAATAGTATTTAAAGAGAAATGGAAAGAAAGCGAACAAGAAAGAAAAAATAGTTAACTGCCAGTGTCACAACAAAATAAGGTATTAACCGTATTTAAACGCCTGAGCTTCCGGGGCTCTGGCCCTGAACCCAACCGAGGGCCCTAAGACGGGCCCCTTAATACTCAGCTGACTGTAATTTAGTGCCTAAAACCCTTGAGCCAAGTCGAGACGGTACTTTAATAATTTAAATGAAACGTCAAAGCTTTCGCGCTTTGCGCGGGGGGGGGGGGGGAAACTAAATTCAGACGAAGTTTAAGAGTCGAGACAGGCAACGAATCACCTTCTTTCTCTAATGATTTAATAAAACGTAAAAGCTTCCGCGCTTTGCGCAGCAGGGGGGAAACTGAATTCAGACGAGGATTATACTAACATATGTGGAGCATCGTCCACGGGCCGCAGAGCGGCGAGGCGATTTTTTGGTGCTATTTTCAACCCCCGTTAGTGATGTTTTCCTGGCATCTACTGACATCTACTACTACTGTGTAGGTCTGGACACATAATAGCATTTTTCTATGCACATCACATTTTCACTTGGCAGCCCAAGGGGGATCGTGGGGTTAAACCCCCTAAACCGCCTAGATCCGCCCCTGCAACATCTTTGCTGATCTTCTTCTCAATATTGATTTATTGGTTGAGTTACATTATTTGCTGGTCTTTTAGAACAACCAGATTTCAGAGGATTCACACTTTTCACAACGAAAAACTTCTTCATGTTTCAGTCCTTGCGCGATCGTCTCCAGCTCCAGCAGATATTGGGCGTCAGTGTGCACACCGGTACTACCGGCGCAGTATGACGGCCGCAATAGCTGTGCACTGCGAGCTTCCGTTGTTTGTATCGGTAATACTCATAGAGATGGGAGAGAAAGCGCCATCTAAGTTCCATTTCATTGGTTTAAGGTTTGAAAATTGATATTCAATTTTGTGTTAAAGTTATATAAGACTAGATGGAACTTCGACTGCTTTGCAAGTAACATACATGACCTAAGTTTGTCAGCAATCTCTCAATCGGTTCTTCAGATAATGCGATCACGAGCTCGTTTTGCATACATAATGAGCCCTGTGACCTTTGACCTTTGACCTCGTGACCTCAAAATCTAATCAGTTTTTCGGCTTTGCAAGTAACATACATGACCTAAGTTTGTCAGCAATCTATCAATCGGTTCTTCAGATAATGCGATCACGAGCTCGTTTTGCATACATAATGAGCCCTGTGACCTTTGACCTTTAACCTCGTGACCCCAAAATCTAATCAGTTCATCGGCTCTACAAGAATTGAAGATACATACATGACCAAAGTTTGGCAGGAATCCATCAACCAGTTCTTCAGATAATGCGATCACGAGCTCGTTTTGCATACATAATGAGCCCTGTGACCTTTGACCTTTGACCTCGTAACCCCAAAATCTAATCAGTTCATCGGCTCTACAAGATACATACATGACCAAAGTTTGGCAGGAATCCATCAACCAGTTCTTCAGATAACGCGATCACGAGAACGGGACGTACGTACGGACGTACGGACAACCCGAAAACATAATGCCTCCGGCTACTTCGTAACGGAGGCATAAAAATATAATCTTTGTTTTATAATTCCACAGGGGCGATTTTTAATTTTGCAATTGCCCCCGTAGGCAACCTGACGGGGGTGATTATGGAGCTCACGGGGGCGAATCGCCCATCGCCCCCGTGTATTTTGAACAAGATTTTGCATCCGGTGAAAGATGAGACGCTCCATTCAACTCGGCTGCGCCTCGTTGAATATACCGTCTCTTATCTTTCACCTCGTGCAAAGTCTTGTACCATTGCACTCATGGCCATCCACTATTTGTATAATGATTCAATGAACGAAATAGGAGTATTTGAGGGGGATTCATTTAATTTGAGGAGATATAATTAATCCCGAAATCAGAACCAAGAACCATGCCAAATCCCTATGACTACTGGCATTAGGCCTAAAAAAAGAAGAAGTTGTATTGCCTTTTTTTTTTTTACTGTTTTGGGGGAAAAAATGTATTAAAGCATTCAAAACTGAGAAATATCAGCCCAAAGAGGGAGTAATAAAAAAGAAAAAAAAAGAAAGAAAAAGATTTCTGACCGACCGACTTATGTGTTGGAACCTAAAGGGCGATACAGCATCTATTATGTTTAGGCCGTATGGACATTTCTAGACCCCCTACATGCAATATTCTGACTTATATATATATATTACCAATCTGTGTTTCTTTGAGCTCCTCGTCTCCGCTGCTCTGTCTAAGGTCACTGGCTAAGAGGTCAAACCTAGCATGGACTGTACGCAGGAGGTCCTCTTTGATAGCCTGCAGGGGAATCATAATAATACAAATATTAAGAATAATAATAATAATATCAAATATTTAGGAGCACTAAAAACAATAAGTACCATAGCACTTACAAATACAGATATATAAAAAGAGGACAAAAATGTACAGTACAGGAAGTATATCACATAGATCATTGGAGAAAAAGGTGAGTTTTGAGGGATCTTTTGAAGGTGGCAAGACAGGTAATGTTCCTTATGGGAAGAGGGATGCTGTTCCAAGTCTTTGATGCAGCTACTGCAAAACATTTTTCAGCTGCTGAGAGTCTAGATTTGGGAATGATAAGTTTACATGTCAGTTGCTGAAGGAAGATTACGAGTTGGTATATATATTTGGAAGTTGTCATTAAGATATTCAGCTTTTATATAGCGCCATGTCTCTAAGCGCTTTAGAGATATACTATTACCCTGGTCATGGGATTCAGTGCTTGCCCGCACACACTGAGCGCACAATCTCCACTCCCTAGGGAGCATTCCAGCCAGGCGTTGCTCAAAAACTGTATGACCAACAATGACATGGAAATGAGCGCATGAAAGACTTCAGTCTCGATACTGATGGTGACATTAGTGATGATGATGATGATGATGTTGATGATGTGATGGCGATGATGATGATGGTGATGATGGTGATGATAATGATAAGGTGATGATGATGATGATTATTATGATGATGATGATGATGATGATGATGATGGTGATGATGATGATGTGATGGCGATGATGATGATGGTGATGATGGTGATGATAATGATAAGGTGATGATGATGATGATGATGATGATGGTGATGATGGTGATGATGGTATAGGGATGACGACATTGATGATGATGATGATGATGATGATGATGATGATGATGATGATGATGATGATGATGATGGTGATGATGATGATGATGGTATAGCGATGATGATGATGATGAGGATAATGATGATGATGATGGTGATGATGATGGTGGTGATGATGATGATTATGGTGATGATGCTAGTTATGATGATGATGATGATGGTGGTGATATGATGATGGTGGTGATGATGATGATGATAATGATGGTGATGATGATGGTGATAGTGGTGATGATGATGGTGATGATGATGGTGGTCGTGGTGATGATGATGATGGTGGTGATGATGATGATGATGATGATAATGATGGTGATGATTATGATAATGATGGTGATGGTGATGGTGATATTGGTGATCATGAAGGGGGTGATGGAAAAGATGGTGATGATGTAGGGGTGACGGAAAAGACGGTGATGATGATAATGGTTATGATGATGAGGAGGAGGATGGTTATTGTGGGGGAGGTGATGATGATTATGATGCTGATGGTGAGGATGATAATAATATTAACAAGATAACAGAGGGAAGTTTAGAAACATACCTGCACAGCTTCATCTATAGTTGCCTTTGGATCCACAAATGCTCTTGCAGACATGGTTCCTGTGATGTATACTTGTGCTTGAACTGTTCCCCTCTCCACGTCTTTGGATTTACTGCTTAAGTCGTTCTGACAAAAATGAAGAATTAAAATACAAACAATTTCTATTGATAGAATATATTCCTACTTACAGTTAAAATTCACCATGACAAGTGTATACAAGGTACATTCATACAGATCTATCAACCTTAATGCAAGCTTTGATCTATTCATGTGGATCTTTGCAGTTATACTGTACCGAGTTCCCTCATGCCTGTAAGTTGAATACAGGGGCAACCCATTTCCAGAGGTCAATAGTTAAATAAATTAAAACTTATGAAGGTAATTTATAAAACCTTCCCATGATAATTTTGTGGATACAGGCAGAACAAATTTCTGGATGGCAACATAAGTGTAGTTGATAAGTCAGCGGGCTATTGATCACAATGTTCAAACCATCTACATATTCTATATTCGACCCGGGAGAAATAAATAGTTAGAACAAATGCCATGAATATGTCACCAATTGATCAGAGCTGCTAGGCCAGGGCAATAACCCAAACCTCTTTGGAAGAGCATAGAGACAAGTTCAGATACATTGTATTTTAGATGCATGTCACAATAATCTAATATCATTAAAATTACATAATGTTTTGTTAAGATTTCAACAGTTCCTCTCTGAACTAGGTCTGAACATGGTACCATTTATTTCAAATCATTACCTTATCTGTTAGGAGCTCCACTGTGTGTATTCCACCTTCGCTTGAGCCTCCACTGCCCTTCTTACCAGACTTCTTCTGCAAGGGTAATATCAAAGGAGAAACAACTTCAAGGTAAACGTACTATGAACTGTCTCGTAATGGAAATGGCAGTTTGTATCATTCTGGAAATGCTTGAAGACAGATTGCAAACTTCCAAGCCAAAGTTGATCCTTGATTGTGAGGCAAAACTTGACTCAGTTTTTCAATCGTTTTCAAATCTTCAATGCCATACCAAATACTTAATGAACCCTTTACCCTTTCACTAAACCTAACATAATTCAAATTGCAACCCAGACTCTAGACACATACAGTACATATCCTAAATCAAAATACAGCTGGAAAAAAAAAATGTTGCCAGAACAATGTCAGAACACTAGTTCAGAATTTGCCCACATTTTTGGTGGAGGCAAGACTCATATGAGGTATATCTATAAACAGCTTACAGACATACACTGTAGTATCAAGAACAAAACAATTTTGAATTCAGAACATAATGATCATCATTATCATTTTCACGACTTTGTTTCTTTCTGCTACTCAAAACACTTGACCTTTGACATTGAAAGAGGGGTCAAGGACCTTCAGCACTCTCACCTTAGATGCTGTGTTTTCAAGCGGCTCTGATCCGGCTCTGATTTGCCCATCCACCAAAGCTACTGCATCCTCAATCATTCTGGTGATTGGGGATAGTCGAGCCTGGAAGGAACGCACAGAAATGCACTTAAAGGGATATGGGGCATGATTGTGAATGTACCATTGCAAACTTGGATACAAAGTTCACGGAAACGCAAAAACTGATAACATAATGACAAATTTAGATATAATTTCATGGATAAGCTTTAAGATGGAAATAATCTAAATAAGTCTTTGTCCTCTTAATTTAAGTATAATCATTGGCTACAATATGGAGGATATCTTGCAAGACAGTTAATGTTGAATTTCACAACATAATTAAAGGATATTTATGGCACGAGGTACCAAAGTAATTTGCAATTTTGTTATCATCTTTGGAAAAATTCACTAAAACCTTGCATCCATAATGGAATCCAACTCTCACCTAAAAATGTAGATGGTATCCAAAATCTAGTCTAAATAAATCTTTTTACATCAGACATGCATGTTCATAATAATAACAATTACAGGTAAAGCCCCTCTTAAAGTGTTGGGAACCCCAAATTTGCCAAAAATTTGATCACAAATTTCACACACATTGTATCATAATGTGAAAAAAGGATGCCATTTATGACACTTCTGCAAAAGTTCCCAAAAAAAATATTGATAAAAAATACATAACTTGGGTTTTCTGTTGCACGTAGAAAACCAAAATTTTGAAGTCTTTCATCAATATTTGACTTCAAACACATTTGTTTTTGAAAATCCTTGCAGAAAAGTGTCTTAAATGACATCTTCTTTCACATTATGATACAGTTTAAGTGAAATTTTGCCATCAAATTTTTGGAGCTCCAAACACTTCAGAGCGGCTTTAATGTGGATTTTTATAGCTCATAATACAAAATATTGTCTCTAATTGCTTACTGTGAGTTGTTTACTATACTGGCTACAGTCTGCCACCGTTGCTGGGAGATGAACTCCGATGTCCAGTCGAAGGGTACTCTTGATGGTAGACCACTTATGAGGGTTGGTCTGGTACTTAAGATCTGCTGGCCTTGATGTACACTGCCAATAGGAAAATATATGGACATTTTTACACTATAATTTGAAAAATTCATGTAAAAACGCTTCTGTTTAATTCTTAATTATTTCTACATGCGCCTTGAGCACTCGGTAGAGTGGATTTTGGGATATACATATAAGTTACATTTATTATCATTATTATTATCACTATTATTATTACAACTGTTGTTTAGTCCAGTGATGTTTGGTCCAGTGATCGCAGGACACCAGGCAGTGCAGCGAAGCAAACGTGTGACTCAGACTGATTGCTTAGCTTGAGAAAGTCCACAGGAGTGGATGAAAGCTTGCATAACAAATTTAAGGGTTGGTAGGAGCTTAAAAACTACATGTTAACTGTTGTTTAATTTCATTTCAAATTTTCATTATGGATGTTGAATACTTTTTGTAGCTCACATAGGCTTCTTGCAAAGTTGTATATAGTTTGTACATTGACGTAATCAAAATTGCTAATAAAGGATGGAGAGAAATTGAGCTTAGAATATTGTTCCACCTCATTGGGCAACAGTTCACAAGGAGAAAAGACATTTTGACACCGCTTGGATGTTATGTAGATCATCATCACTAACAATATATTTAACGGACACAAAACCAACTAACAGGCCTTGCATGACTTTTTTACAATTCAAAGACTCAAAAATATCTGCCGGAGTGTACTATAAAATATGGTCTTCCAAAAGCAACATGAAAGCTATACAATGTCTGGTCGGTAATCCCAAAATGCTAATATGTTTAATGACCCTGTGGATGTATTAAAAGCACTATTCAAGTGAATACTTGAGCAGTGTCAAATACCCAATGAAAACCCTTGATTATGAGTTTAAAGGTAAAGACCAGTTTTGGAAACGCCCCCCTTTCAAAAAATGAAATTGAAGCTCTTATTACCAATCATGTAAAAAATTATGTTTTGACTAATACGTGATCATACAAATTTTGCCGAGAAACCGCCTACTAATTGATATATTTGGTAAATTATTATATATATTTGGACCCGATAGATATCACGCACGTGTCGCGTACCGGTAGTCCCATAAACATCTTTCTGTGTACAGTGCTTGTAACTTTACCAAGACTGGGCCAATTTCTTATCATTTTGATGATTCCAGAACACTTGCAGTACACACCAATACTTACGGTATATATGCTAGATGATCAACCTTTTCTGATCTATTCCACAACGTTTCTTTACAATGCAATTGCATGACTAGAACTGGTCTTTATCTTTAAAGGTACTATGTCCCATTTGCAGGCCAAAAAAATGAAAAAGTTAAATTCCAACTGCATTTGAAAGATAATACTTATTTAGAACTTCCCTAAAAAAGGTGGGGCTTGAAAATGTCTTCAAGTTGGAAAATAATGACTATTAGTTGTCAAATCGACTTTAGGGCTATAGAACTCCAAAAGTCATACCCGTAGTCTTGATTTTCAGACAATTGCATCGAATGGTCATACGTTTTATGCTGCGCAAAGATTCAATCAGTTTAATCTTGGCCATCACAAGAAGTGGGTTATTGATGTAGACAAATGCTCATGTACCCTTTACAACTCTTTTCATGTATGTTATTACCAAAGAAGAAAAAAGCCAGTCAGTCACTCAATAGTGTCTGACAGTGAAGTCTAGCAAGTAAACGGGTTTCCTTGCATAATTTGAATATGAGGACACTGCTAACGTTTAAATTTCACAGATAGGACATACATGACATATTCATAATTCCTGCAAAGTTCTACAGAATTTGAGGTTGGCTGCAAAAGGGACATAGTACCTTTAAAAGTGCTACCATGAAATAAGTAAGAGGCAATCATAACATTATGACACTTGAGAGATGTAAATTGGAGAAAGACTGCCTACCTTATGGTCCAGGACATTGATCGTTTTACATGTAGTTCTGGATAGGTTGGTTAAGGAATTAAAAGTGAAAGTAATAGATGGCTAGCAATGAACATGAAAAAACGAAAATAACAAAACATTATTGATGAGGAGATCCCTAGTAATGATAATTTCTCCAAAAATAGCATCTGGTCACATAATAAAATAAACTACTTCTTTTTGCTTAAAGAACAGAGAGCTGAAACCTAGGATGAAATATTTCTTATAAATAATAGATTTTTGATAAATTTTCTAAGAAACGTTTATTAGAGATTCAGGCTACTTTTGTCTTGTACAACTGACACATCTTGATGATACACTGCATCAGTGAAAAATACTTGGGGGCTCAGGGCAAAATAGCCCCCAAAATGCCCAAAACAGCCCCTGAAAAATAGAAAAGAGCCCCTGTAAATTTGCATAGAGTTCAATGCAAAACAAATTTTAGAGTGTTAATTTCATGCAGGCAAGTTTGAAAAGTAGCCCCCGAAAAATAAATATTATTTTTCCCTGCACTGCATAGGCAATGATCCACATAAAAATCAGTTACGGCTAGGCAAAGATGTCAAGTAGTTCGGCACAATACATGGTTCCCACGTGCAGAGTAAAATCAACAATGTACATATTATGCACTCCAGCCTGCTTCGGAGAGAATGATGCCATCACATTATCATTTTCTTTATAAACTCCTTTTAAAGTGACTTGGTAACATTGTTGAAGGTTGATGAAAAAATTGTGTAATTTTTGTATAAAATGTTACTTATTATATTCCTTCTACTGTACTAACCCTCTAACAGGCAAAAAATCCTGAGAAAATCCTCAAACCACAAAGATATTTATAGTTTTCTATGAAGGCGTCACTGGTCAACACCTTCTTACAGTGATCAACAATAAATTCTCCCAACCATTTTTGAATTTTCCCAACCGTTTTTCCTTGAAAATAAGTCGTAAAACAGGCTATAAAAAATCTGTCAACACTTAAATGTCTGGAATGGTATATAGAGCCAATTCATTGCTTTGCAACGATTTACAGTCACCTAAAATGTAATTAAATTGTAATAATATAGTTGGGAGAATTAAGGAATAGATCAGATCAGCTTTTCCCAATTTTTATTGTTAATAATGGTCACTCAAACTTTCAGATTATCTTTAATTGTACATCTAGCATTGAAGTCACTACCTTAGCACCGTTTTCTCTCATCTGAACAATCTTACTAAGTCCCTTTAAAGCCCCACTGTCCTACTTGTAGCTACTTGCTCCCTCTATATAGAAAACTTCCCCAATCGGTGCCTGTTGATCCCCCATGATCCTCTTTTTCTTATATTAGTTGAGAGCTGAGTTAATGAGATAGCCACCTGTCAGTGACCTCGCTGTGTGGTCTAATCCCTTCTGGCCTAGTAGTATTGACGGTCTTTAAAGGCAATGCTCAATAATATCAAGATCACAGGACATAAGGTTGCCCCAAATCTGAATTTAAATCCCCTAATTACTAAAAACAAATTGTTGGTGTGATCTACAGTCTGGTGATTTGTCTTATCCACTAGACTAGTAGTAGTATTAAGGATACTTTCTGGTTGTACTGCAGATCTGAAGCAGACTCCAGTCCAAGCTGTCCTGTCTAGAATCCAAGCCAAGTAAAAGTCTCTTGGTTAGAAGTTTGTGGATTGCAAAGAGAGCTTGCCGTGCTTTGGTGGCTGCGGGCGTCGCCTGGTTAGGGGCGCAGACGTAGAACACGCCTATGACTCCAATACCACCAGGTAGCATGCATGTCACCTGAGCATGGGAGAGGAAGAGAAAAACAGAAAGTATAATTTCTAATCTTAAAGGTAATACAAACTTTTGGGATGGGGTCATGGATTCGGTTCAAATGAACATATTGGAAGCATATGCGATCCTACCATATTCAGTGATCGTTGTCGCAGTTGAAATTGAGTCTAAAGTTATGAAATTGTAAATAATAACTCTTTATGTTGATTAGCTCCCTCTCAAGGTCAAGATATTAATTAAGCTATAAAACGACGCTTCTTGACTGAAATCGACCGATTAGCTATTCCCGTTTGGAAATTATATATCACAACTACATATTCTGAGATTTCCATGGTCGCAGCTACCATTGTACGGCCGTAGGCGCTATTTGAAATTTATCAGAATTTACCGGGAGCACCGGTAAATTTTTATAATCAATTTTTCTCGAAAGCAGAAGTGTTTTAGGGGCTAAATTTTCTAGTGCTTTAATACATCCACAGGGGCATCCAAATATATCAAAATTGTAAAGAATCACTATCCACCCAATTTTCAAAATTTCCCAAAACTTTGTATTACCTTTAATAAAAATCAAAACTTTGCTTCCGACATGTCCATCTTTTTAAACTTTAATAATTTGTCCTACTTATCAAATAACTTGTTCTTCTCTAACCAATGAAGTAAATCAGTTCCACATGTTTAAAAACATTAAAAGAAGCTGTATGTTCTTCACTTGAAAATAAACGAAGCCAATTCAGATATTTGTAAATTTAATATTATAAAGAAACTGCTGGAACTTAAGCATGAAACTGTTATGGATTCTTTTCTTTCTCTAAATATTCTTCCTTTTGTCCTTTTCCTCATCAACACCCTGCTTAACCCTATTTAGCCCGGGGGGGGCTTGAGAAGCCCCCCCCTCGACATTTTTCGCGATAATTTTTTAACGCAAGAAAATCTTGCACTGAAATTTTGTGACTTTTTTCTTTCGAGTCTTGCGCAACTTTTGAAAGAAATTTTTCGAAAATCGGACCTACCATTACAAAGTCACGTGTCCTTTTGTCTTCGCATGTCAGCCCGAAAATCGCTCATTTTTGTGATTTGTGTACAAAACATATGGAAATCTCATTTTTCAAATAAAGAGGTAAAACATTGGTTATTTGGTCTTGTTTAGATTTTAGGTGTTTATTTTGGGGTCAAAATAGTTGAATTATAGTTGGAAATGAAATAAAACAACAAAAACAATAAAATACATAAGTTAAAAAAACAAAGAAATACATAAGAAATTATCAAAACAATAGATAACATAAGGAATAACCCTGGTTTTTCAAATTTTTGTGTTGTATTATTATTCCAAATGGTCTAACAAATATATGTAGTGAGAAAGAATGCTTAAATATGAATAATGTCTGATTTATGGGCAAAAATGTGAATTTAATGACCTCATTTGCATAAATTACCATAAATATGCAAATGAGTGAATTTTTCAAAAAAATTGAAATTACCATAGTATTCTATACACTTCACTTGACATGTATGCAAATTTTCGCGGCGATCGGGCGTTTCACGGCCGAGATCACAGGGGGGGGCCTGAGAAGCCCCCCCCTGGGCTATGCAGTTTCAAAATAGCCCGGGCTAAATAGGGTTAACTGTATACCTGTCTGGCATGCTCAGCCACCCACTGATCACACAAGCCATCCAGAGAAGGCTGGTTTTCGCTGCTCCATCGTCTCCTTCTTCACATGGTGTAGGTATCAGGTGTAGAGCAGCATCCTTCTGTGATGAACACTAATACAATAAAAAAAAAGATAGAAGTTATCGTTAATTCACTCAGCGCAGCTGTACACAGGCAGACTAGAGCGTCGATGTAGTTCTACTTCATCTAAAAATTTGATGATGTCTGCAACCCACTGTATATTAATGAGTACCTTTTTATTTGATTTTTGAACTCTGCACCCTCAGTTGTGATGTTTGTCAACAGTTTGCAATGCCACGGAAGTCTAGACGTATATACCAATTGGTCCTGTCCAGTACCACCTTAGATGTAGAGTTCACTTTAATTGTATTTATGTATTCGGGAGTACCCATTACAAGCAATGCTTATCGGGTTTCGCACCTTCTTCCTTGTAATACAAGTTCTTTAATTACCGGTATATTTATTTTCCTACTGATAAATTGTATTGTTTGGAAGAAAATAAATGTTCATTCGAATTGAATTGAATATAGCATTTAAGGAGTTTCTGGTCATGGCCTCTTTGCGGAGCAGGTAGTACTGATGGAGTCACAACTGTCTGGGGGACTGATATCAGCGAGTTCTTAATACAGAACATCATCGCTACCCACTCCAGCAAAGCATAGAGAGTCAATGCCAAAGCGTATTGACCTCTAGCACTGCATGCTTGCTGTGAGGCAGGTATTACTACACCCATACACAAACATACACACCACACAATTTCGCATAGACTGTACACAATCATGTCGATGCAGCTGTAGGCAAAGTTTGACACTAGACTTACAATTTGAATTTTTAAATGATTCTTTTTTCAGTAAGTTAAAAAAAATGTATTTTACTGCTATTTAGGTGTCATCAATTGTCACTAAAGTACCGATTTCGAGTGAAATCAGTTGAGTTTTGTACAGTGGTGTTTGAAATGTTGAGTATCCAAAGCACAGCTTTTACTACACAGCCAGGATAGTGATGCTCCTATGTGTGTCGCTACCTTCACCTACATGTAGGCTCTCCTTTCTTGCAGAGATGGCCATTGTAGTTGGTCAAGCATGGCTGTGACGTTTCTTCTGAGGAGAACTTTCATGAATATCTCAACCTTTTACAAGGAGACGGGGTAAATTCAATTGTATAACAAAATCTTCCAATTTTTTTTTTTTTTAGATCAATCATCATCATGCACTTTTGCAAATTTTGGGTAATGTCAGCTGAGGAATGAGCTGACAATAACATTTCACTAGTTCCTTACTAGTTATTAATATTAGTTTAAAACTTAAATATTATGACCTGAAATACCCTTAAAAAAAAAGTAATGTCATAAGTAAAAAAAAAAATGGAACAGAAATTTTCAGATCAGAATCTCATCATTCACCTGTTCACCAGTTCACCGATTTACATTTCTTTGTCTCACCAAAACAATTGTCATCCTCTGCCTTTCCTTCTACATTTACAAGAAATAAACTGACTATAACAGGAATACAAAAGCAAGTTGAAACATCGAAACAAACATGCTACATTCACACAACTAACAAGGTTTAAGTTATATTTATCTAGAGTACAACGAATGTTTTTTTATAGTGACAATATCACCACACAATTTTGAACGTATGGGACTGAGATAAATCTGCATTGACACAATATGGCTCGAACAAACATCGTAATTTCTCTTACCTTCCCAACAATCAGGCCAAACTGGAAGCTCTTCTTATCAATGAACTTCAAAACAGATTCCTCGATTTCATTTTCAGCAATAATCGTCTTTCCCATCTTGAAAACTAGAGTATTTTCAAGACTTGTCTGCAGACTACACTTATGACTCAGTCAGCAGGTCAGGCTACGTGGTTGGAGGGTGCACAAATTAATACATAAACTTGGAATCAAGACTAGTTTTATGAAAGGGGAAAAGGGGCTGGGGCGTTTTTGATTTACACAAAAGCGAAGGGAATTTCACGATTAATTACAATGAAACCGTTAGCGAATAGTCTAGACAAACTTACATGTAGGTCCATATGTTCCAGCTACCTAAATTTTGTCTTTCTCTTCTCTCTTATATCTACATATATATTTTTCCTTAATTTTTGTTCTTCTATATATGTCTAGGTTTTTCAATTTTGTAAATAGTTTTGTTGTCACAAACACTTGCCAATGATGGAAAATCAACACTTTTAGAGAAATTAAAGATAAAGTTGAGTTCTGGTCATGCGATTGCATTGTGAAAGAAAAGATGTACGTGGAATGGATCAGAAAAAGTTGATCATGTAGCATTTAAGTACATGTACTGCAAGGTTGTGGAGTCATCAAAATCATAATAAATTTGGCCCAGTCTTGGTACACAGAAAGATCTACATGGGACTACACAAATGGTGTTGGGGCTACGAACCTTGATTTCCTTATCTTTTTATGCTCATTACTCCATTTGATTCTGTGAGAATTTTTTTTTTTTTTTTTACCAGAACTCAAGTTTATCTTTAAGTTTTACTCTTGACACTACACCGGACACTAACATATCTCAAAATACAGGCTTTCTGGTGCAATCTTTTTCTGTTTTTTCTGATACATGTACTTCCATACTAGTATCCGCCCCCCCCCCCCCCACCCAAAAAACAAAAACAAAACATGTACCCTCTTCACTTTTACCAACACTGTATAGTACCTCTCAAGCCTTGTTCATGTCTGTTGTCAGGCGCGTACGCAGGATTTTTTCAAGGGGGGGGGGGGGGGGGGGTTTAACATTTATAAATCGGGCGAAAATTTCGGGGGGGGGGGGAGGGGGTTGGGGGGGGGAGTGGTTGGGGTAAGAGGACACTTTTTTTTTTTGTCTCAAAATTTGAAATTTGGCTCCGGGGGGGGGGGGGGGGGGGGGGGGGGGGGGGGGGGGGGGGGGGGGGGTAAGGTTTTTTTGGCTTAAAACCCCCCCCCCCCAACCCCCTGTTGTAATATAAGGGTTCATTATGAAGGAAGTATTTAAAAAGTAATAGGCCTATGCTTTATATTTCTGAATCTTATAATGCAGAGCTCAGTGAATGACTCGATCAGTTAATTGCCATTAATTGATATTTAGTTCAAACGTGCTGTTTTAATACCTCTTCATTTCTGATCAACAAGCCATTATATAAGTATCACTTAATATATATCTATCTCACTACATTAAATAATTGCATACTGGCATGGTAGTAGTATGATGGTAAACTAACTAATGGTTTGAGAAGTATCAATACACAGAAAAAAGAAACAATTCAGTTTACAAGCAAACCGTATATTTGACATTGAAAACATTGCAAGATACAAGCCAACACATATTCAAATTCTCTTGAAAGATAATATCACATTTTTAAGTATGCCTACAGTATAAATACATATATATACCTGCAGCTTAGGAAGCATTCACAGGACAACGACTTTCAAAATTTTGTAGTTTGCGGTTTTGTGCCATAATTAAGTGAAAAAAGAAATAACAAAAAAATATCAAGCACAATGTGCTTGTTTATTACTCTTTTACAATGTCAATAAATAATAGCTACATATATGTTGTGCATATGACCATCCCAGGGTTTGCAAGAGGTAGGCATAATAGTAGTCATTATTACCCTGGCTTAATCACACAGGAGGGGTCCAGGTGGGAAAGAGAACATATATTTTAATTTTTTTTGGTCCCAAAAAAATTGCAACGACTCAGCTAGCCGCTGAATAAGCGGGAAGGAGGTAAGAGCACATTTTTCTTTCTTTTTTAGGTCCCAAAAAAATCGCAACGACTCAGCCAGCTAAATAAGCGGGGGGTTGGGGGTAAGCGGACAATTTTTTTTCTTTTTCTTTTGGTCACAAAATTTTTTAATTTGACATTTTGCTCCGTTGGGGGGGGGGGGGGGGGGGGAGGGGGGTACGTCCCTGTTTTTCAGTACATTTTGGGCGAATTTAGGGCTGATTATAACATTTTGGGGGGCCGGGGGGGGGGGGGGCATGTGCCCCCTGTGCCCCCCCCCCCCCCTGAATCCGCCACTGGCACAGATTAAAAAGTTCCTACCAGGACCCATTTAATACACCTGGGTGAAGCAGCAGATTTGGCAATTACTGTTTAGTCATAAAGGCAAGTATAGACACTGCATGACAATTCAAGCATACATGTATACCTGTTTGGGTATATCTTTTATTTCACTAAATCACAAAAGTGATTAAATCTTACAACTTATTGGGTGAATACTTTCTGTTTGAAAATAGATGGTGTTGCACAAGTTAATTGTACGACTTCCTCCCCCCCCCCCCCCCACAAAAAAATATATATATATATATACAAAGAAGAAAACATTTATAAATAATGCTGATACTAGATCAGAGTTGTTTTCTAAAGAATTAGCAAAATAATACATGTACATCCAATCAGTCTGTCACAAAAAACACACGGTAAGAACACCCTCAGGAAACCAAGTTAAACCGTGTAGGGAGTGTCATATTTGTTATTTTGAATTACTGTAAAAATGCAATATGCTTTGTAGTCATATTTAACAATGAACTTTAAAGGTAAGGACCAGTTTTGGAAACACCCCCCTCTCAAAAAATGAAATGGAAGCTCTTATTACCAATCATGTGAAAGAATATGTTCTAACTAATACGTGATCATACAAATTTCGCCGAGAAACTGCCTACTAATTGATATATTTGGTAAATTCTCATATCCATCCGGCCTGGATAGATATAACGTAGTCCCATATACTTCTTTCTGTGTACAGTGTTTGTAATGTTACCAAGATTGGGCCAAATATCTCTTATCATTTTGATGATTCCAGAACCTTGCAGTACACACCAATACTTATATGCTAGATGATCAACCTTTTCTGATCGATTCCACTACGTTTCTTTCACAATGCAATCGCATGACCAGAACTGGTCTATACTTTTAAGAATGAACTTTAAGTACTATACATTTACATTTAGATTGGATACAATGCATAAAAGTGGTAAAACATAAATATTTGAATGATATACAATGAATATACACAAATTTTACAAGTACAAGTACAAGTATTTGCACACATCTTCATTGACAAATTTTCCTCATCATGATACTATTAAAACCCATCTTTGCAATTCATTTTTGCAAATTTGAATGATGCATTGGCAATTTTTAAAACAATTGCACACAATTTGTAAGCAATATCATGATAAAATTATCAAACTAACATATAGCTCATCAAGGAAAAAGTTTCACTAATTCGGTAATTAATCTGTTGATAATATACAAAGCTAAAATCCATTAATACACATACATGTAAATGTATCATTAAAAAAGTTACAGATACAAATTTGAGTCATTGTCATCAGCGTACAGTCTGTACAGATTGCAGCTCAATAAAAAGACAAATTTTCAAATGTCCCAATTGGAAACAAGTAGTAACCTAAAAATCATTACCTGCCAAAATAAATTGGAAATATTGTTGCAGTATCATAAATTTGTACAAATTCATTTGTACTGTTTCATCAACATTTCAGAAACTTCATTCTAACGTCCAAAGAAGATGTATCAGTTATATAGTGACACACGAGTTGACATTGTCCAAATACAACACTACATAGAGCACACTTTTACCATGGTACAATGTATCACTGAGTATCTTCTAAATGAGTACAGTCTGTCTTACACACACAAAAACAAACCATCCACAACATTGCAGTTGATAGTTATATCGACTGAATATTAAAATACGAAAGTTGTAAGAACTAATTTGTCATTGTCAATAATAAATATATCATTTGATTATCAATAAAGGAGAAAAATATGAAAATGCTGATGGCAAGAATTAGTTGAGTTGCTGTGGTTGTCTAGAGACCAGTGGATGAGGGCGCTGCAGATTCGGCTTCAACCGTCTCGTCCATCGGATCTCCACTTCCACTCCCTGATAAAACGTGAGGCTGCATAGCGGCAAATACATGGTCCAAGTTGCTGTGTTGGTCTAGACATCAATGGTTGAGGGTGCTGCAGATTCGGCTTCAACCGTCTCGTCTATCGGATCTCCACTCTCTGATAAAACGTGAGGCTGCATAGCCGCAAAGACCAGGTCTGAGTTGTCTGGTTTATCATGATGCATGAGATGCCTCACTAGAAGGCTGTTGGAGTTGAACTTCCGGTCGCAGATGAAGCATTCAAACCTCTTCTCACCCACATGGATGTGGGAGTGAGATTGCAGAGCGTACTTGGTAGAGAAGGCTTTACGGCAAACACGGCACCTGTACCTCCTGAAGTTCACATGAACGATAGCCTCGTGCTTCAGCAGAAAGTCAGGCTTGGTGAACTTCTTGGTGCAGAACTTACAGCTGTAGAGGATAGTGGTCGTTGAGGAATCCTCAAGCTGGGTGCTCGCTCCACCTTGCAAATCGCCAAGGTCCTTTGGCTCGAGAGCTTTCGGGGCTTTAGCTCGAACAGCGTTTTTCACCAGCTCATTACCTCTGGACCACTTCTTGCCAACATTCACCCGGTGTTTTGTGCGGAGGTGAAAGACAAGACAGCTCTTCCTCCGAAAGTACCACTTGCAGTAGCTGCACTGGAGAGCGTTTGGATCATGGGAAATTAGATGCTGCTTTAGCGACTTACTGTGCTCACACTCAAGTCCGCAGATTTTGCAGATGAGGGCTTTGTCGCTTGTGTTCCTGCTCATCTTTGTTACCGCTCTTTTACGTCTCTTTCGGAGCTCTTTTCCTCGATCTTCCACCCATTCATCATCTTCTCCATCAGTACCGCTTTGTTCCTGGCTTTCATCTTTCTCTACCACTCTCTCATTTGGATCAAAATAGTCATTATCTCCATCATCTCCTTTCTCATCAATTTTGCTTGGTGTCATGAGATCCTCTTTCTCATGACGGGACCACTTCTTGCCAATGGACACCTGATGCTTTGTCCGCAAGTGAAAAACAAGACAACCTTTCCTTTTAAAGTACCTCTTGCAGTAGCTGCACTGGAGAGACTTTGGATCATGGGAGATCAGATGCTGCTTCAGTGCCTTACCATGCTCACACTCAAGTCCGCATATGTTGCAGATGAGGGCTTTATTGCTTGTGCTCCTGCCCTTCTTTGTATCTGCTCTTTTAGGTTCCTTTGGAAGCACTTGTCCTCGATCCCCCACCCCATCATCATCTTCTCCATCAGTACCACTCTGTTCCATGCTTTCTTCTTCCTCTACCACACTTTCATTTGGATCAAAATAGTCATTGTCTTCATCATCATCTTCCTCTACTACACTATCATTTCCATCAAAATAGTCATTGTCTTTATCATCTTTTTCCTCTACAACACTATTATTTTCATCAACATAGTCATCATCGTCATCATCTTCATCATCTTCTTCTTCTACCACACTTTCATTTTCATCAAAATAGTCCTTTTCTTCATCATCTTCTTCCTCTGCTACACTCTCATTTGGATCAAAATAGTCATTGTCTTCATCATCTTCTTCCTCATCAGTTTTGCTTCGTGTCATGAGATCCTCTTTCTCAAGGCGGGACCACTTCTTGCCAACGGACACCTGATGCTTTGTCCGCAAGTGAAAAACAAGACATCCTTTCCTTTTGAAGTACCACTTGCAGAACTTGCACTGGAACGATTTGGGGTCATGAGACATCACATGTTGTTTCAAGGCTCTGGTATGCTCACACTCCTTTCCGCAGAGCTTGCACCTATGTCTCGGTCCCTTGGGGTTGTTGGCAAGCCGTTGCAACCGCTTCTGCTTCCTCAGTTCTTCCTCCAGCCTGGCTTCCTCACTATCATCTTCCAAAGCATTGTCCCTCTCCAGAAGCTCATCAATTGTCCCCCTCAGCCATTTCCTCCCTGCAGAGATCTTGTGCTTGGTGCGGAGATGGAAGATCAGACAGCCTTTCCGCTTGAAGAACCAATCGCAGTACTGGCACTGATAAGTGGTGGGGTCGTGGGACAGGAGGTGCTGCTTTAAAGCCATGTTGTGCTTGCATTCTTCCCCACATATTTCACAGACTGGTAAAGTCTTTTTGTTTTCATCATCTTGCTCAAAAATCTTGTCTTGAGTCTGGTCCTTTACCTCTTTGGGGTCCAGTTTCTGGCTCTGTTCTTGGTCCTTATCATGCCTCTCATGGGTGCTTCTTGGGTCAGATTCTGCTCAGGAAAAATTAAAAATACAAGAAAAGAAAGGGAGAGTGTTACTTAAGCATGAAGAAGGAATGAGAGGTGTTCACACTTTCTACTTTGAAAATTATACAAGAAAATTTATAAATATATGATATACATGTCAATAAATCATAGAATTATAAATATAAAGTGCAGGAAGGTCATGTCTGCAGGAGTAATTCTGCTGATTTGACCTTCTATTCATTGCACTCAATGTAGATGTACACGTCTTAATGAAAATCAATTTTAACCACATAAGCTGTGTTTAGATAAGATACGGCAAAATCGCTTTGTTGTTTATGATGATGTACTGTACATGTTTAATGTGGTACGCTTCTTATTTCTGTATCTTTTAACGCAGAGCTCAGTGAATATATATATTTTTTGCTGTGGTTTTTACTGCCTCCTATCTGAACGAGCCTTTGCAATCTCTTTGTATCACTGTACATTGGGGATTGACACTAACAGGTGCCTGGCGCATATACATGTAGTCAAATCCAACCAAGGGAAACAGAGAAAGAGGCCACTATAGACAGGTGGCCTTTCTAGACAGTTCCTACAAAACACAATTTCTTTCCTGAGGGAAACAATGGCTACTATACAAAGGTGGTCTTTACAGAGAGGTGGCCTCTAAGATGGGTTAAAGGGCAAGTAAGGTTAACCTGTAATGTCCAAAAGTCTGAAAATTAGACAAGAGTGGCTCACACAAACACTGAAGTATGTCAATCCAGACTCCCAAAGAAAATAGTTTGTGAGGAGCCTTGCTACATAACTTGTAATATTACAATTCTTGACAAACAGTGAAAAAAATACATGGGGGCTCAGTGCGAATTAGCCCCCGAAATGCCAAAAAGAGCCCCAGAAAGTCATAAAAGAGCCCCCAAAATTTGCATAGAGTTCAATGCGAAACAAACTAAAGAGTGTTATTTTCATGCAAGCAAGGTTGAAAAGTAGCCCCTGAAATTGTTTAAATAAAAAAAAATTCTGTTGTCAAAAATATAAAATCAAATACAGCAGGAGATATTGCATTCTTCTACTGCTTGTTAATTTATGACCTGTCTTTGACATCAGTATCTACTATGACAAAACCCCTTTATTTCTTTCATCTTCTTTATTTTTGTATTTATTTTTGTTGAAATCTTGATACTGATAATCCAGTATCGAAATACATTAACTGACCCAAGCAACCATAAGGACACATTAATTGATGACATTTGAATTGAATTCATTCTATTTCCATATTATGCATCTTGAAATGTCCCATTAGCAATATATGATTGAGAGAGGTTAGTGACAGACAACCTGAACATGTCCCAATAGCAATATAACATTGAGAGAAGTTTAGCGACAGACAACCTGAAAACAGTGGCAAATGAAGATTTGATGAAAAGGAGAAGACTGATCCAAAATTCTCATTTGATAAGGGAAAAATAAAGCAAAGGACACTGCAAACAACTATTAACGACCGACAAAAGAAAAAAAAAGAAAAGAAGGGGTTGCACAATAATAGACCAGGAAGGAACATCAGCTCGCCTTATTAATCAGGTGATCACGTTATGTTGGGATTGAAGGTGTCCCAAATATCGCTAGAGTTGGACTTCCTGGAGCCCTGTGCTAGCTGTTGAATTGTTCTGAACAGTGACTTCTTCCTGCATGGTGATAAGAGCAGGGTCTTCAGAAGCCGCCACCTTGTCATGCCGCAGGAGATGCCGTATAAGGGTGTTGTTCAAGGCAAATCTCTGATCGCAGATGTGGCACGAGAACTTCTTCTCTCCTGTATGGACCTGCAGGTGCGTCTGCAAGGAATACTTGGTCCCAAATGCCTTTCCACAGGTCAGGCAGACATGAGGCCGGATACCCTTGTGGCGGCGCTCGTGGCGCTCTCGCCCAGTGTTGTCTTTGAAAGTCTTGTCGCAATAGCTGCACTTGAAGAGTCTGGATGGTGTCATGTGCTGCCTTCGCTTGTGCTTCAGCATGTACTTTCTGGTGCGGAATGCCTTCCCGCACTCATCACATTTGAAAGGTCTTTCCCCTCGATGCTCTGGTTGGTGGTTTATGAGTGCCTTCTCTGATGCAAAAGATTGAGGACATTCTGTGCACTTAAATGGACGTTCTTTAGTGTGCTTCCGTTTATGCAGTGTGTAGTTATACTCCTCCATGAATGTCTTTGTGCAGAACTCACATTTGAATCGTCCATTGTTCATGTGTACAGTTCTTTCATGCTTGCACACCAGGTTGTGTCTTATGAATTTCTTGGGGCAGAACTGGCATTTAAAAACCCTGGGCTTCTTTGACTTGATGAGAATATGCTTACCTAACATGTCCTTGGCAAGTTCAGGATGAAATTCCTCTTCCTCATCTTCCTCGCCGGGCCCCACATATCTCGTCATCTGCTCCTGAGCGTTGCCCCTCGTCCACTTCTTCCCCACAAAGGTTTGGTGGATGTGCCGCAAGTGGTACACAAGGCAACCCCTCCTCCTAAAATACCTCTTGCAGAACTCACACTGGTACGCATGAGGGTTATGTGACAGCAGATGTTGCTTCAAGGCTTTGTTGTGCTTACATTCAAGTCCACAGACCTCACATATAGGCCTCACATCTCTCATCTCTTTGTGGAACGCAGCGTGTTCTTTTAAGTGTCCCTCAGATGGAAACTTCTTCCTGCACCTTTTGCAGGAGAACTCCTCTTCTTTCTCATATTTCTCTGCAGAAGACTTTCCAAGTGGGACAAGCTTGACCTTCAGGAACCTCTTGGACTTGTCCACCTTGGGTCTTTGCCTAGCCTTGTTCTTCTCTGCATTACGCTCTTTGTCTCGAGCCATCTTGGCTGCAACATCCTTGATCGTCATCAGGTTTGGTATCTTTGGCTTCAGAGGTGGAGTGCTCTTGGCCACTTCGACATGATCTGGAGGGATCAGGTTGTTCTCCTTGTCATGTTCAAACTTGATGTGTCGAAACAGGCTCTTGGAGTTGGTGTAGCGATTGTCACAGTCCCTGCACTCAAATCTCTCAGCATCTACAAAGGAAAGGGCAAAAAATAGAACATGTTTCTAGTATTATGGTAGTCACTCTGGGAGTAGAATAAATGACATTTTCATACTCTGATCTCTTGTATGCGAGAGTCATATATATGTGAAAAATAGACTAGAGAATTTTTTATCACACATTACTTCACAAGAAAACGTCAGTGCCTTGTTCATATCATATCAATGTTAACAGCACGAATCCCACATTCTAAATATTTAAGAAAAGGTATTAGCTAACCTAAATAACAGCATAATTTCCATTTCCATATTTCTTTACAGGATCTTTTCACTTTTTCAATGTAAAACTCCTTTAAAAAAAAAGAGAAGTTTCAAGCCCTATTTTAATTTGAGACAGTTTTGCACCACATCGTTCTTCCTTCAATCTGTAATTTGCGATCATCAATCATCATCATTTCTTGTCTAGCAGCCTACCTTTGAAATAGAGCAAGTTGTTGAGGCTTTCCTTGAAGCCCACGTGTTTGCAGTAGTCCTGGCCATAGAAGACCCTCAGTTCCGTACCCATCTTGATGAGCTTGGTGGTGCGGAAGAAGATGTCCCCGTAGAACTGATAAGCTTCCATGTTCTGTTCCTCAGTGTTTCTGGCGTACCGGACTTGGTACATCCAGTTGTTGGGGTCCGTCGCTCCATCGATGTAGTACCAAGTCTTCCCCCTCACACACACCTTTGCAAGCCAAGATAAAAGGAAAGTAAAAAATGCTTTGAATATCCATCATTGATGAGAAAGATTTGCTCTTATATGACAAGGTAAACGACCTTAAAGCCCCACTGTACTCCTTGTAGCTACTTGCTTCCTCTATATAGCAAACAATGCCTAATCGGTGACCGATAGCCACCTGTCAGTGACCACCCCGGGTGGTCTAATCCCTCCTAGCCAAACTAGTACAGACGGCCTTTAAAACATTATCAGCAAGGTAATGAAATTCACATCAAACGGTGGGACATCTAACATTTCTCAGTTATAACACAAAGATACACAAATAAGTGAGTAGTTCAAGGGGCATTGTTAAGGACGGATACATTAGTACTTTCTTCACACCTTCACTTGCCATTCATTTACAGGGAAGTTTTCATTTTGCTGCGGCAGTTAGCCATATCATCTGTCAGGGAGCCCTTGAAAAGTTGCCCAAAATGTATCATATATTGTAAAATACATGTGACAGACCACTTTTCACCTCAACTTCAGCCCCAAGGAGCAAATATGCTAAATTCTGTTCATTTCTCTTTCTTTTCTTTTTCTTATTCATTCTCAATTCATAAACCTCTTCTTACATAACTGTAAAGATTTAAGACTTGTATGTTCAAGGAAAGTGAAGAAGACTCTCTTTTACTTTGAATCACAAAATAGGGGAAACAGTTTGATTTTTCACCAGCAATGACAAACTGTTTCTCGCTTTAATAGTCATGACACTGGAACACCCTAATTTAGAAGGTACTTATGATTTTGTTCAATTACCTCCCATGTATTTGGGTTGAAACAGCCTAACCCCTCCTTCACAAACTCTCCAGTGAACGGTCCAAACTCCACGCCAGGCTCAAAGTCTTTGGTTGCGACGACACCCGATATCTTCTTCTCTTTCTCATCCTCGGTAAACTCCAGGCCGTCAGGTAGATCGTTCTCCTTAGTGAACTGCATGGATGCATTGTAGACCTGCTGGAACAAGGGCTCCGTCTGACAATGCTTGCTGAAGCTCATGCATTCCCTTGGGCGAGGCTGATGCTGTTGCTGCTGCTGCAGCATTTGCGCCTGTTGATAAGCCTGAGGTGTCACTATCTGCGTCATCGGTGCTCGCATGCTGGGTGGCTTGCTCGGCTGCTTAGGGCTCGATCCTGGCGCAGCTCGCTTCTTAGGCGTGCGTCCAGTCGAAGCAATGACTCTGGAGTTGCTCTTGGTGGTGTTGGCACACCCACCGATGCTACCTGGTGTTGTGTTCATTGGACCGCCCGAGGTGGAAGTGGCCAGACGGCTGTGGGAGGTGTTGTGGGAGAGGTCTTCAATGTGGTAGGCATCGCCACTACCGGTGTGAGCCTGGCCTTGCTGAAGGGGCGGTGAGGGTTGTTGGGCTGATGGTAAGGATGGGATCTGCTGAAGAGGCATCCCATGCTGGCTGTGGGGAGCAGGCTCTTGCTGATAATGCCCTTGCACATTGCTCCCTGTACAAATGACATAAGAATTCAGACTATATCAAAATCATATCTACACTGTAGACAACTGCACAGTTCAGAATATAATGACATCAGGAATTTTAAAAAGGTTAGTATACATGACATACAACAAAAAACAGTTCTGAGATTTTCCCTGTGAAATAAAGCTGTCTCTCTCCCTTCTTTCAATGTTTACTGTTGCAGGAGAAAGCCTTTCAAATATAGAAAAGTGTAATTTCTGTACAGCACATTTGTAATATTTTCCACTTAAAATATGGAAATAAAAAACAAACAAAAAACAGGTCTTTGCCCATGGTTTCATTTTTGGAAGTACCAAATGAAGTAACCTGCTACATACCTTGCATGACGTTACTAAGAACGTTGTCAAACTCATGGCTACTCTGACTGGAATCCCTACTGCTCGCTGCTGAACCTGTGGTTGGAACCCTTGGGGGCTGGACCAGACCAACCTCCTGACTGTGGACCAGTCCTGATGGGGTCCCTGCACCCTGGAGCGGGTTCATGTAAGGGGCAAGCCTGCAGAAAGATAGAATAGTTTGTAATGTAGAGACTACTTGAACTGCAGAATCACAGTGGTCATCATTTTATGATTTAAAGTAAAGACCTCATAAGTGAGGGCAGAACACCACCTGTGCAAATGTGATGGAAGGTACTTTTGGTGCCAAGAAAATTTGAAGAAGATTTTCACTGATATCACACAAGCATCTAGCTAGCTGAGAGTCACTGAGACAAGGTTTTCCACAGTAGCAATGTTTACATGATATCGAGGGTTCTAGTATCTTCCCTCACCTTGAGCTCAGGAAGATAGGAGCCTCGATCACTTTAATGCAAGGGCAGGTTCTTCTATCACCTGAAAGGTTCATGTGATGGAAGGTACCCTGCCTGTAAAGCATGGTGTGCTGGAGGGTACTGCTGGTGCTGGTAATGTATACTAACCTGAGTCCAGGGTACCCTGCCTGTATAGCATGGTGTGTTGGAGGGTACTGCTGGCGCTGGCAATGTATACTAACCTGAGTCCAGGGTACCCTGCCTGTATAGCATGGTGTGCTGGAGGGTACTGCTGGTGCTGGCAATTTTTACTAACCTGAGTCCAGAGTACCCGGCCTGTAAAGCATGGTGTGCTGGAGGGTACTGATGGTGCTGGTAATGTATACTAACCTGAGTCCAGGGTACCCTGCCTGTATAGCATGGTGTGCTGGAGAGTACTGCTGGTGCTGGTAATTTTTACTAACCTGAGTCCCTGGTACCCTGCATGTAGAGCATGGTGAGCTTGAGGGTACTGATGGTGCTGATAATGTATACTAACCTGAGTCCTGGGTGCCCTGCACGTATAGCATGGTGTGCTGGAGGGTACTGTTGGTGCTGATAATGTATACTAACCTGAGTCCCAGGTACCCTGCCTGTATAGCATGGTGTGCTGGAGGATACTGCTGGTGCTGATAATGTATACTAACCTGAGTCCCGGGTACCCTGCCTGTATAGCATGGTGTGCTGGAGGGTACTGCTGGTGTTGGTAATGTAGAAGGTGCTGGTTCTGAGGGTGCCCCTGGCCTGTCTCCGGGTTGGAGCGATTCTCCTGTCTCTCATGAGCATAGTTGTAGTCCATCTTGTTCTTTCAACCTCCAAGACTAGATCTGAAAATATTATAAAAGAAATACAACTGTGATTTATTTTCTTTTTCATGAAATCCACTCAGCTGTACAATCCTTTACTACCGAAGAACCTTTTACTTTTAGGCATTGTGAGAGTAGAAGCTGGACTGAAATGATTTGGGAAATTAAAAAGCACTGGGTTAAACTACCAGTAATAGGACAAATGGTTAACATATAAGCATGAACCTAAAAGTTCTGTTATGAAAATATTGAGAACCCAGTGAGGCATGAATTTCGTAGTTGGCATGAATTATATCATTGTACTTGTAGGAGATATTCTGAACAGATTTGGGGTTCATTTGTCGAAGGCATTTATTCTAAAAAATGATATCAGATTTTGAGTCTTTTTAGATTTGGGATTGAAATATCAAAGGTCAATATTCAAAAATATGATATTAGACGCTTAGTCTTGATAGAGTAGTATCTCAAAAACATATATTTTATAAAATAAAGCTGGAAGTACATGTATATATTCGATCATCTACCAGCTGAACCATTATAAAAAAGAGTCTGACATTAGAGCCTCAACTAATCTTCCTGTTCTAGACCCTGGCTACCTGAGAAGATGATGATTTTAAAAAAAATAAATTGGACTAAAAACATGTAGAATATCAAGGCCCGTAAACTAAACTGAAAACTATGTAACCTTTTATGTTAGAAAAAAAATGTTTCAATTGTGATAAAATAAACAAAAATTTGTCAAAAGTAACACTTAATATCTCGGTGCTCGCGTTGAAAACATTTTAACGAATGGCCTACAATGTACTAATCCCAAATTGTTACGGCTATATAAGCCTATGACAATCAAAATTATAATCCATTGGCGGAAACTTTGAAAATTTCGAGCTAGATTCTATCTTATTCTTAGTTAATGACTGACTTGGTCAACCCTCTCGTTATGCATAAATTTCTTTTCAGTATTTGATTTTGATGAATGTTTGTTATAATTTCGCAGGGAAAAGAGAAGCCTTTATTTTTGTTAAAATATGTCTGGAGTTTCGACCTCCCAGTCCCTGCCCCCCCCCCCCCCCCCCTCTCCTCATATTAAAATTCATATGATTCAATGATATTAAGCACACATATATGGCATTGTGATTTGTGTCACCTGGTCACAATAGGGGCTTTTTGTTTGTGTGGACGAGGACAGCATTCACATCTTCAAAACAATGTGAATTGGCTGCAGTCAACCTGTCCTGTTCACTACCTTAATACCCCTTTTTGTTTATATAGTCGACGCCCGTTCTCAACAAGATGAATGGCCCTGCGGCCCTTAATATTCAATTTCTCCTTCTTTCACTTCTTATGTTATTCTTTGTTTATTATTCTGTATTATTATTTTATTCTTTGTTTTCCTTCTATCATTTCTCTTTCTGTTTTTCTGATGTTATTCTTAATTTTTCCATCTTTCATCTTCTCTTCGTATACTTGCCATTATCTTTTCATTATCTGTTTCTCTTTCTGTCTCTCCTTATGTTATTCTTTGTTTCATCCTTCTATTATAGCCTTTGTTTGTATTATTCTCTGTTTATTTCCTTCTAACACCTTTTCTTATGTAATTCTGATTTTACTGTTCTATCATTTTTCCTACCATTCCTTATGTTATTCTTTGTTTTCCATCCTTCATCTTCTCTTCTATCTTTCCATTTATTCTCTATCAATTTTTCTTTATGCCTTCCCATAGGAAAGAAATGAGCCTGCCGCATACTCCTGGGGCAGACTTGCCCCAGATCTGCAGCAGACCTGCCGCAGACAGTCATCTTTTTCACATGCAAATTAGTTTTGCCGCAGACTTGCCGCAGACTTGCCGCATACTCTTTCAGTATGATGAAGAGTCTGCGGCAGGTCTGCCGCAGACTTGCTGCAGACTTGCCGCATACTCTTTCAGTATGATGAAGAGTCTGCGGCAGGTCTGCCCCAGACTTGCTGCAGACCTGCCGCATACTCTTTCAGTATGATGAAGAGTCTATGGCAGGTCTGCCGCAGACTTGCTGCATACTCTTTCAGTATGATGAAGAGTCTGCGGCAGGTCTGCCGCAGACTTGCCGCATACTCTTTCAGTATGATGAAGAGTCTGCGGCAGGTCTGCCGCAGACTCTTCGTCATAAATATTCATATCTCATATAGACCTGCTGCAGACCTGCCGCATACTATTTCATATCCAGTACGTGGCAATAAAGTATGCATGTAGAAGAACCAGTGATAAACTGATTGATACTTCATAATCGATATTGGCAATATCGATATTACCAATTAGCTAATACCAATATGTATGTCGATATTACCAATTGGGTATATTCTATTCTCAATTGTATTAACTTCATCACATTGATCATTTGAAGTGTATTCAAGAGTAACATTTATAGTGACACAGGCTCGTACACATATATATATACTAAATATGTATATTGTTTCTTGGTTAGTAATCATAGTTTCTTGGTTAGTAATCAATATATCTATTGCTTAAACGTGAATGTAATTGTAACATGATCAGACAAAATAATCTATTGGTTAATAATGGCAAAAGGAAAATAGAAATCACAAAAATGATGTGCATTGTCTTAATTTGCTTAACAAATCATGATAAATGTATTTTTCTGTCACACATGTAAAGTAATAATGAATATGCATGAGATGATTGGTTTCAATTGGCCCTATTAGACTTTAATGGGATTTCCTGTGGCAGACCTGCCGCAGACTGTTCCTGTGGCGTACTGGTATGCGGCAAGTCTGGAGCAAAGTTTCGCCCTGCCGCAGATCTGCCGCAGACTGTTCCTGTGGCATACTAGTATGCGGCAAGTCTGCAGCAAAGTTTCATCCTGCCGCAGATCTGCCGCAGACTGTTCCTGTGGCATACTAGTATGCGGCAAGTCTGCAGCAAAATTTCATCCTGCCGCAGATCTGCCGCAGACTGTTCCTGTGGCATACTAGTATGCGGCAAGTCTGGAGCAAAGTTTCATCCTGCTGCAGATCTGCCGCAGACTGTTCCTGTGGCATACTAGTATGCGGCAAGTCTGCAGCAAAATTTCATCCTGCCGCAGATCTGCCGCAGACTGTTCGTGTGGCATACTGGTATGCGGCAAGTCTGCAGCAAAATTTCTTTCTGCCGCATACTTCGGCATACTCTGGCATACTCTTTGCCGCAGACTAAAAGTCTGTGGCAGGTCTGCGGCAGGTCTGCGGCATACTTTTCACTTTCCTATGGGTTTCCTTATGGTATTTTTTGTTTCTTCCTTCTTTTATTATTTATATTTGTTCTTAATATTTTTGCTTTTTCCTTCTATCACCCTCACTTATGTTATTCTTTGTTTGATCATTCTATCACTTTCTCTTTCTGTATTCCCTTAAGTTTTTCTTTGTTTCTTCCTTCTATCACCTTCTTTTATGTTATTCTTTGTTTTTATTATTTTTGCTTTTTCCTTCTATCACTAATTCCTCTTTCTGTCTTTCCTTACATGTACGTTATTTCTTTGTTTCGATCTAGCTTCCTCACTTTCTCTTACATGTTATTCTTTGTTTTTTGTAATTCTATCACTTTCTCTTTCTGTCTTTCCTTTCTGATTTATGCGGCGATATAGCAAGATGACGTCATTTTGACGACGAGGTACAAGTTTTCTGACGAACCTCAAATCATGGATGAATGCCGGACTTCTCAAATTTAGCCTGCACGACGTGGGACGACCCGACGCATGCGTAATTAAATCGCCGAAATAACGTCACATCGTTGACATCGTCTATGTGGACATGACTAACGAAAAGGCCCTATGTTCAGTGTTTCAAATTTCATCACAACGCAATGCACAGTAACATACTCACTAGTAGAAATGGCAATATAACTCATACAGGCGCAGATACTGTTTAGCAGGCATAGTCACTGCACAGCTCAGTGTGGTAAAACACACGTATTCCATATGGGAGATGCATGCAGATGGGGACTGCTCAGCTCACCGACAGGCGAGTCATGATCCACCGCGATGCACCTGCTAAAAATGAGAGCGTATCTCACTGAGAATATGACCAAGAAGCGCATTATTTAGGCAATTTAGAATAATGATAACAGGCTGATTGATAAACTTACCTTGATAGATCATTGGTATTGGTGGTGGGAGCTGGAAACCACCACAAATCTAGAGTTTACCAGAGAAAATATTCATTACAAGTATCCTTTCAAGCCTTCCAGGTCAACATGGATTTTCACTTCCGGTATATACAATGGCAACGTTATAATAATGATGATGATTATGATGATGCATGGATGCATGACAAAAACAATAACAATAACAATATTAATACAAACAATAATAACAATAACAAACATATAATTACTAATGAACAACACAGTATACAAATTAACAACGTACAATAAGAACAAAAACAATACATTATACAATCTTTCTGTAAGCTGCAGATTGGGGTTAATTGCCATAAAGATGAACTTAATTCTGCAGAAAGCGAAGCTATATTGCTGCATGCCGGGCGCAATTAGACTCTATATACTGCATGAAAGTGCTATGAGTAGCTTTCATGAGGCCTATATAATTAACTAAAACTTTGGGTTAATTGTAGCTTAAATCATTTGACTTATATACTAAGCTTAAATTAATTACCCTAATTAAGAGGCTAAGACTCAGTATTCATGCCAATGAGATAAACAAACATATTGAACAAGCCGAGATAAACTGATGAATTAATAATATAATGATAATAATAATACAACTAAAATAAAACTACAGATAATAATAATACTGATAAAAAGGATGATAATAATAATAATGAACAATGGTACGGGTATCAATTCTTTTCTTTTCTAGACCCTGAGCATTCTGTCACAAATCTAACATACCAGAAGGTTTAGTGCCACCAGGCTCACCCCCCCCCCCCCCTTGGTGCATAATTAATTGATGATGGTTATTTCTGATACCCCCTCAACGTTTTTAAGCCAACCGCACACTATAGAAACATATGCCATCTGATTTTGGAAGAATGTCTTATATAAACATTTTGAAATTTATATATACATAATCTTAATGACCCAAGGTCTGAATATGGCCATATCATATGTGATTTTAGATCAAATCTAAAATTCAAAGGATTCATGCTCCCTTGCGTAAGCTAAATCGATTAGCTCAGAATATACCCAGGACCAAAATCCAGTTGAAACCAATTGGAGCAAAACCAATTGAAACCAGTTGCCAACTGGTTTCAATAGGGAAATTGGAACAACTGGTTCCAATTGAAACCAGTTGCCAACTGGTTCCAATTGAAACCAGTTGCCAACTGGTTCCAATTGAAACCAGTTGAAACCAATTGCCAACTGGTTCCAATTGAAACCAGTTGAAACCAATTGCCAACTGGTTCCAGTTGACTAATTGGTTTCAACTGGAACCAGTTGTTCCAATTTCCCTATTGAAACCAGTTAGCTTTAATTGGTTTCAATTGGTTTCAACTGGTTTCAATTGGTTTCAACTGGTTTCAATTGGTTTCAATTGGATCCAATTGAAACTATATGGCATAAACTTAATTAGTTATAAGTTAATTAGCTCTTGCACTAATTATCGCTCATGTCAACACAGAAGCATTGTTATATGTGTCTACATTAAGTACAATGTAAAGGGCATCATAATATGCAGACCATATAATATACTTCACAACGAAGGCATTGCCATTATATATGTTTGTATTTGATGTATTTTGTACATGGTTAGTGTTTTACTAATCAACTTTTAATCTGTGTAATTACAAAAATATGTTCATTGCTAATTAATCTTTATAATTGTCTAAAACAAATGCATTACTTGCAAATGAAAATTAATTAATAAGTACATTGTAAATCAAAATAAATTACATAAAACATTGATCTGCACACAAGCAGATAATATGCAAATTAGGCTAACTGGTTTCAATTGGATCCAGTTGGGTAACTGGAAATATTTCCAATTGGAACCAATTGTGTAACTGGAAATGAATTCTAACTGGAACCAGTTGGGTAACTGGAAATTACTTCTAACTGGAAATGAATGCTAACTGGAACCAATTGGGTAACTGGAAATGAATTCTAACTGGAACCAGTTGGGTAATTGGAAATGACTTCTAACTGGAAATGAATGCTAACTGGAACCAGTTGAGTAACTGGAAATAAATTCTAACTGGAACCAGTTGGGTAACTGGAAATGACTTCTAACTGGAACCAGTTGGGTAACTGGAAATGACTTCTAACTGGAAATGAATGCTAACTGGAACCAATTGGGTAACTGGAAATGAATTCTAACTGGAACCAGTTGAGTAACTGGAAATGACTTCTAACTGGAAATGAATGCTAACTGGAACCAGTTGGGTAACTGGAAATGACTTCTAACTGGAACCAATTGGGTAATTGGAAATGAATTCTAACTGGAACCAGTTGGGTAACTGGAAATGACTTCTAACTGGAAATGAATGCTAACTGGAACCAGTTGGGTAACTGGAAATGAATTCTAACTGGAACCAATTGAGTAACAGGAAAATCATCTTACTGTTTCCAGTTGAACTTCTAACTGGAACCAGTTGGGTAACTGGAAATGACTTCTAACTGGAACCAATTGAGTAACTGGAAAAATTACCTTACTGGTTCCAGTTGCACTTCTTAGCCTATTGGTTTGAACTGGAAATGAGTACCCATAACAATATTTTCCAGTTCGGCAATTGGTTTTAACTGGAAATTTTATATTCCAATTGAAACCAATTGAAACCAATTGAAACCAATTGAAACCAGTTGAAACCAATTGAAACCAGTTGGAGATTTCAACTGGTTTCAATTGGATTTTGGTCCTGGGTAGTGATATCGTGTGATTGTCTAAAATTTGAAGCCGATTTTGTTTTTATTCTGACAAGACTGAGAGTTAATAATAATTCACTAAATTTTCGTATCATTATTTAGAACCTAAATCAGGAGGGTAGTTGCTCAGATTTCCATATCAAGTATAACTGCCTTTTCTACCAAAATAGGATCAAAGAAGAATTGTGTATTGGGCACAGGGATATTTCTTCTAATTGAAATAGTGCGTGCCTAAGCGCCTTTCATTTTAAACATTCAAAAGCAAAAAGTATTCTCATGTACAAAAATATAGAGACAAATTAATGGATTAAGACACACATGAAATTGTTATTTTTTGTAATGTTTTATTCATCATTAATGTTCAAACATGGAATTGTTACATAATACCAATGTAATACAGACCTACTACTTAGCCTTTTTAGCCTTCTCTCCATTTTATTTGTACAAAATATTGTCTAATTATGCAGAGATACTTGAAAACTAAAGAGGAATTAAAGGTAAAGACCAGTAATGGTCATGCGATTGCATTGTGAAAGAAACGTTGTGGAATCGATCAGAAAAGGTTGATCATCTAGCATCTAGCATCTGCAAGGTTCTGGAATCATCAAAATGATAAGAAATTTGGCCCATTCTTCGTAAAGTTACAAGCACTATACACAGAAAGATGTATATGGGACTACCCTATCTCTCTCACACGACCATGAGAGAGATAAATTTACCAAATATATGAATTAGTAGGCGGTTTCCCGGCAAATTTTTTATCATCATGTATTAGTCAAAACATATTCTTTCACATGATTGGTAATGAGAGCTTCCATTTCATTTTTTGAAATTGGGGCGTTACCAATACTGGTCTTTACCTTTAACGAATGTTTGAAATTGCAAAATGCAAGTAACATTTCAAAAAGTTGTGAACCTATATGATTCATGATCAGGATAATGCAAATGTGGGATAATTAATAGATTACCTTATCCTTAATTCATTACATAAAATTTACATTTGTATTTATTAGAAATAAATATGTATTTTATTTCATCATATAAAGACCGAGGGTTAATTCATATTGTTCTTTAGTTTGTCACTAGAACACAAGAAAATTAGAACACAAGAAAATTAGCACACATACCCCCCCCCCCCACCCCTCCCAACAGATTAGAATGTTTCACAATTAAAGGGAAATTTAACCCTAATAGCAAACTACTCTAAAAGAAGAAAAAAACAGACTCCGATTTATGTCAAACTTTCACCATTCTGTTTTTCTTATTTTTCCGCTTTTATAACAATGAAATTATTACACAGGTTGTATTGCCCTTTAACACAATTAAGTAGTTCTAAACATCTCAGGCCAGGAATATGATTGAAACAAAGAGAAAAAGCTATTTAAATGTAAATGTACTGTAAGATATTTTTTACCTAATAAGTTCAGCTTTTTCAAGGTAAAGAGTTGTCCAACCATGGGCCTATATGTCCCCAATAGCACCACTTATATCAAGAGTTGCAAACTTGCGAAAAGAATAAACTGTACAGTACGATGCATCTAATTACATGTAGACCTTCTGTCAACATAATTCGGCAATTTAAATAAACATTATATTACAGCGCATTCAATTGTAAACACGTTCTGCTGAACATGAGCATAATGCATTTAAAAACAATTACTGTACAAAATTTTCTAGAATAAAAATACAGACATCTAAACCACTTGGCAATGTATATTAATACAAAGAGAGATTATTACACATAATGTACATAGCACCATATTACTTAAGCATAAAAGAGGTACAAAGATATGTAGACAATGATATTACAAATTGCATTATTAATAATTGGCAAATAGTAGAAGCAAAATATATGCGAGTTGAAATTGAGAATCTGATAAATTTTTTTAAAGTGTCAAATGTCAAGATTCCTAGTGTCATGATAATGAATATGTATCAGATTATGCAAATGTGACACCTGTGACCTCAGGAGGTCAGATCGCATGTGCGCGATGTATATGCGATACGCGTGACTTGATACCCAGTGCGGGGAATAAACACCAGACTATGGTTTATGGAATTCAACTACTTTGTTAGTTTGTTTGCACTTAATATGTGACATTGGCGACGAGGATTAATGTTTCTTGGATGTTGAATCTGTGGCTACGAGCTGGAAAAGTTTCAACATGGCATTCGCTGGAGCGGAATTGTTAGCGCTTCGAGGAGTTCCACACTTCGATCCGACGGGTGGTGCAAGTATTGTCAGCGGCAAGTGGAAAGCTTGGCTTGAAGAGTTCGAAGCCTACGCCGATAGTCGCGGCCTGTTTCTGGACGGATGTACGCCGGCCCAGGAGGCTCAACGGAGAGCACTGTTGCTGTACACTGCGGGGCCTGTGGTAAGGGAGACTTT